GAAGGATGGATTTGTGCAATTTTCAGGTATATAAAAGAGAAACAGAAAACAGCATTCTAATAACTGAGCTTCTAATTAAAATTGGAATTTAGGACTGAAAGGTCAGTCTTTTCAGTTCATGTTGTCCAGAGCAATGACAAGCCTCTGCAGTAGTTTGACAGAATTCAGGTCTACTCAATAAATTATACTAGTCAAGACAATAAACCTGGATCAATAATATTATTTTCTGTAAAGATGAAGTGAAACTGTCTGCAAAACTTTTCAATGACCTCAATAACAATGAATATTCATATAGGGACTGAACTTTCAGTTTATTCCATGAAAATGAAAATTTAAGGTTTTAAAAATTTTCTTTATATGATTTGATAGAAAACTTAACATTTTCAAGTCATAATTAATACACTGATCACTAAACCAGGTATTCCTGAGAAGGAAGGCATGGAATTGGTGGAAATCCTTTTAATAAGCATTCAAAAGTATAAAAAAACTATATTTTTCCTCATGGTTTATGTATCTACCTGTGGTCAGAGGTTCGGAGTTCAATTCCCTACTGTGTCTCCTTGACCAGGGCCGAACATGATGATCCATAGAGTCCTTTCCAGCTCTGCAGGTCTAAAATGGTGATGATTATAAAATGCTGATTTTAAATTAGTTGTGTAACACAATATTAAGTGCACAGTAGTTGGATGCTGGGATGTTTTACTATCAAGAGGGTTAAAAAGCTGATTACTTGAGGCATAATTATATGGATACGGCAGAGATAACCTGAGGATGAAATGAATTCTGCCCCTATGCAAATATGAAGCATAGAAATTATTGTTGCATTTGCGCTGATTTCTGGTGCAGACTATCCAGCCCTGTTATTTGTACATGAATTCTCAACTACAGCTAGTCTTGGATACTCTGAGGAGCCTGTGTCTCCATTCTGCATTTGTACACATCTCTGGCTTAACTGACCTCTAGGTTTCTGCTGGTGTAGTTAGTACTAGAGGTGCATCATAACAGACCTATGTTCAGTTTTTGTGTGTACATTAATTTCACATGTTGAGGAGCAAGATGGTTTTTGACCAGATTAACTGTATTTCCCACTTATTGCGCGGTGCTGTGTCTGCAAACCACAGGAACCCTGCAGTGGTAGCAAATATGCACACGTGGGAACATGCATAGGAAATGAAACCTCCCTTTCAAGCCAGTGTGGGAGCTTGTTACTCAGGTAGAGAACTGTGGCTATTATGTGTCTGTGATGTCAGTACGGTTGGCTAGAATTGCTTCCTCGGCACATTGAAAAAGGAAGCAGCCAGTGTGGAGCATTCTGCTTTTTGAACATGAATCATTTTCAGTGCTGCCGCCAGTTGGGACATTTAGGTGCAATTAGCATTAATTGGTCCTTTTGCTGGCCACGTCAGAAAGACTGGCTTGACCAGCACATTCAGAAGCCCTTGTGGAGGGTGTAGTGCAGGCATTGAGGGTGAGATGGGTGCTGGCTTAGCTGTTACTCTAAAAGCATAAGAGGCAGCAGGGAAGGCTTCTTGATATGACTGGGACACACTGAGCCAGCTGTCTAGCTGGGAATCAGGGAACATCTGCAGGTCATGTATACATGCTGCTTTACAATCAGCCATTTCCCCCCTTTAGATACAGGAAATGCCACCATTTTTGTTCATTTATTTCACTGTGGATTTCTAGCCCGTCTTTGAAGCAAATTCCAAGGGTGGTTTACAATAATACAATAGAAATTACTAAAAACAGATCTGCAATATATTGAAAACAGCATATCTAACAAAAGCACCATAAAACCAACATTAGAGATTAAAAGGTTTAAATGAAAAAGGGGTATCAAAATTACATCAAAGTGGATGCTGTCTGACCTTCCCTATAGAGAACACTCCAGAAATGGGATGCCATCACTAAGGAGGTCCTTTCCTTGATAACTTGCACTTCTGGATGTAGTGGTCCCCAACCTTGGGCCTCCAGATGTTCCTGGCCTACAACTCCCAGAAGCCTTCACCACCACCTCTCCTGACCAGGATTTCTGGGAGCTGAAGTCCAAGAACATCTGGAGGCCCAAGGTTGGGGACTACAGCGCTGGGACACATATGGAAGACAGGTGGTTTCCCAGGTACATAGGTTCCCAAGCCAATAAGACATAATAAGACATTTAAAGTTCAAGACCAGCACTTTGAACTTGGCCTAGAAATCAGCTGGGAGTTGGCAAAGGATTGTCCTAAGATGATTGTACTGCCAATGACTTATGGATTCATTTTTGCCAACTCGAGGGGCGAAATGTCTCCTGTGTTGAACAGAAGGCTCACTCCAGTGTGAGATAAAACAGATAGCACCAAGGATAAGAGCCTTTTAAACATGACTGGGATCTCTCAAAATCCCCCCCCCCGCCTCTTGCTGTTGTTCATAGCTAGGAGTCTGCTGTTTGTCTATCAGATGCTCCTATTTATCAAATACCACAAGGCAGATTAACTTTATTACTCCCTTCTCCCATCCCTTCTCCCAACTGTGATGTAAACAACCTGTTTAGGAACATTGTCAAGATAAGCAACACGACTCATAATGCCTTTAGCCACAATGAACATCGTTAATTAGCACAAGCAAAAATACAAGATTGTGTTCCTGTTTATTTTGCAACAGTCAAGGCAATCCCCTCCTCTTGAAACTGTGTTTAGTTCCCTCTTAATTTCTATCTCTGTATATTCTTTAATATTGAACCATTTTGACATGATGATGATATGGCTTGGACTGCTACTCCTCGTCTTTCTGAACACAGTGGTCTTTCAACTGACCTGATAATGTATTTTGAGATTATGCTAAGTGCCATCAAGTCACTAGATGGCCGGGATATATATAAATAAATAAATCTTATTGCGTCTCTAGTAGGATTTTCAAGGGATGCTATGTATTTAAGGAATGTCTTACCATAGTCAGCTCTCAATGAGTTATTAGGTCAAATGGGGATTTGAACCCAGGCCTTCTGAGTTTTAATTCGACATTCTATCCACTTCACTGGCTCAACACAATTCTGGTCAGATGTATGGCTTTTTAAAAATAACTCCCAGAATTCCCTAGGGAGCTTGGCCAGTGGAATTCTGGGTATTGTCCAAAAACACAGATCAGCAAACTTGACTGCAATTATGTCCCAAACATGCCTTAACTTGGTTGACAGATCAATATCTGATGTTGTTTTGTATTTCCAGAATACTGTTTAGTGGCCAGTTTAAAAGTGAAATAAACAAGCAAAGTGGTGAACTGTGATCAGAACACATATTAAGATACTTATTGTTACAGCATTGAGTGTATTTTATTGTCCCATGCCTTAACTTGGTTGACAGATCAATATTTTTCCAGGATGTTGTTTTGTATTTTTGTATTTCCAGAATACTGTTTGGTGGGCAGTTTAAAAATGAAATACAGTAAATAAGCAAAGTGGTGAACTGTGATCATAACAAATATTAAGATAATAAAATACACTCAATACTGTAACAATAAGTGTCTATTCTATGTTCTGCAAATCGGCTTGAGTAGTGTCTTCACTAAGTCAGGCACTATATAAGCATTATAAATCCCTACATACAACATGCACATAATGCAACCAGCTGACCAAGTTCTATAATCTCCCCAGTTAAAACAGATGTGAGCAATATAGGCAGCAAATTGCTGCACCAAAGCAGGGAAGAACTCTGGGAAACTCTGCCACTGCTTCTGGATGGCATATTGTGCCACCAGTACAGGTGCCTCTAAAAACAAAAGTTTTGGGGGGCCACCTGTGGCAGCATGACACCACCCTGCCTAAGACGAGTAAGCAGAGATCCAGTGTGCTTTCCAGGCAGCTTGTTAAAGAGATATGATGTTGAGAAGAAAATTATCTGCGGTTGGAACCACACCTCTTATTCTGAATCTTGAGCTCTGTCCTGTATGGAAATGGACGGGAGGACCAGTAAGTGCTGCTGGGGAGGCCAGACCGGAAAGCTGATGGGAGGAAGTGGTGCCACCACCGCCACCTGTAGCTCTGCAGGCCGCCTGGCCTAACAGGCTTTGCTCCTCTAATTACCCTGATGATCCCATAGCAGGTGGCGATTTGAGCACATTAGCTGCATCACCAGCTAAGCCTCCAGATGTTGGGCCTCCCCAGCTGTTCGCAGCTGATGGCCCGGGTGACCTTGTCCATGGGGCCAACGAAAGAGGCTGATGATTGTAGCCCCGCATCGCAACCTATCTTTAGACAAAATACAAGTGCAAAAATAGGCGATACCTTTACAGATAAAAAAAAAACCTGCGCGCCCTTTTCTTTTCTTTTTTTTTAATTTGGCCAGCACCGGAAGGGCGTATGAGGTTCAACCATGACCCGCCTTGAGAAAGGTCCGCCCAATGTTGTGCCTGGTGAGTGATCGCTGAGAGCGGCGATCTGTGGCGTCTGGAAGGTCTCTTGCATGAGCGGGCGACGGTTCTGTATGATCCAGTCCGGGTTTTCTACGCGTCTGGGCAGAAATCATTTACTTCTTGGCTTGCGCGTTTTCAATGTGATAACTCTCAGGATCGCTCTTTTTTTTTCTTCCCTCCACACCCTTGATCCTCCTCCTCTTTTCCCCATTTTCATTTTCTGTTCCTCGGATCCGTAAGGGGATCCTCGCTCCTGGAGAGCTGCTGCCCCCAGGACAACCTCACCCCGAGCCCCATCAGCGGAAGGGTTTTGCAGCCTCTGCTGCTGACATAGCTTTGGTTATTTCTCTCTCACACACACACATGCACACACACCCCACCGCCGTTGCCACGCTCTCGCACGCCCTCCTTCCACCTTGATCGCCGCATTTCTGCTCGCCACCAGCCGCCGCTGGCGCCCAGCTCACGGAACCGCGGCGAAAATCCCCTCTTTTCCTGCCCGCTCCCCACCCACCCGCAAAAGCAACTGATTGCCTTAA